CCCCCCCCCCCCCCCCCCCAGGGGTACAGTCACGGTCTGTCAGAGTTTCTGGCCGCGGCGCTGACCCCTGCACAGAATCTTTTTGAAGGCCTTCCTGAAGTCCTGGTTGAAGACGGTGTAGATGAGAGGGTTCACCGAGCTGTTACAGTAACCCATCCAGAAGAAGAATTTGAAGAGTTTCTCCGGGACCGGGCAGAGTTTGGGGCAGATAGCGGTCAGGGAGTAGGTGAAGAAAAACGGGAACCAGCAAAGGACGAACACCCCGATCACCACGGCCAGCACGAAGGTGAAGCGCTTCTCCCGGTTCTGGCGGCCCTTCCAGCGGCTCCGGGGGGCCAGGCTAGTGACCGGCCGGCCGTCTACACACCGGACCTGTCCCGTGGCCTTGGCCGGGTTCGGGGCGGTGTGTTGCGGCTGCGGTGGGTGGCAATGCTGGCGGTGAGCAGCCGGGGACGGGGAAGGGGCTAAAGCGGGGCAGGGCGGCTGCTCCGAGGATGAGGAGTCTTCCACCTCGGCCAGGACCCCCTGTCCGTCTCCGCCGTTGTGTTGTCCCGGTTCCGGGGCTCCGGGGGGGGAAGGCGGCTGGTTCAGGCCGTTGGGAATGTCCCCGGGGCGGCCCCGGCTCCTGAGCTTGGCGATCTGGTAGATCCGGATATAGACCAGGATCATGATGATACACGGAGCGAAGAAGGAGCCGATACACGATGAGATAATGTACCAGACCTGGTCATTAATGTGGCAGGTACCAGGCTCCTGGCTCTGGTTGGTACTGATGTTGGTAATGAGTGGGGGGCAGGAGATGGCAGCAGCGATGACCCACACGATCACAATGATCCCCTTGATCCTGCGGGGGGTCCTCTTCAGGTTGTACTCGATCGCTTGGCTAATGGACCAATAGCGGTCCAAGCTGATGGCACAGAGATGGGCGATGGACGCGGTACAGAACAGGACATCAATGGCCAGGTGGACCTGGCACCACAGGCGCCCAAAGTACCAGTAACCCATGAGCTCCTTGGCCAGAGAGAAGGGTATTACCAGGGTGGCGACCAGAATGTCCGCGGTGGCCAGTGACACCAGGAAGAGGTTCTGAGGAGCCCGTAGAGCACGGCTGGTGAACACGGCGATGATGACCAGGACATTACCGAAGATGGTGAGTGCCATCAGTAAACCCACCACTGAGCTCAGGGCCACTGCCTCCCGCACCGAGTAGGCGAGGGGCTCCGAGCCGTTCCCGCAGCCTCCCCCGGCCCCGGCCCCGCACCGAGAGCCCCCGGGCTCGGCTCCCAGCTCCACCGTGTCCCGCTGCAAAAGCATCAGCTCCGGGCGGCGTGCCCCTCCTGGCCGATCAGCCGCCAGCGCCGAGCGCCCCCGCCCCCCCCACCCCGTCAGTGGCCACGGGCTCCGGGGGGCGGTGGGGGGTGGTAGTGTCCCTGCCCCGGGACCTGGGGGCTCGGGAAAGTTTCCCTCCTTCAGGCAGAGGCTGCAGCCGCTTCCAGCGTGAGCCTGGTCCGGGACACACAGGGAGACACACAGGGAGACACACAGGGAGAGACAGAGACACACACACAGAGACAGTGAGAGCTGAGAGACTCGCTGCCCTGAGCCCGCCCTTATATAGAGCCCGCCCGCGTCCCGCCGCCTTGTTGCTGGGCAGAAATCGTCAGGGCACCACGTGGCCGCCCAGCTCCACAGGATGGTGGGTGGGGGCTGACCCTGCCCCTTTCCCCCTTCCCTCACTTTCCCCCCTCTCCCCCCTCCCTCACACTCCCCACTCCCTCACTCTTCCCCCCTCTCTCCCCTCTCCCCCCTCCCTCACTCTCCCTCCCCCCTCCCTCCCCTCCCTCTCCCCCCCTCCCTCACTCTCCTCCCCTCTCCCCCTCCTTCACTCTCCCCTCTCCCTCATTTCCACCCCCTCCCTCCCTCTCCCCACCCTTATTTTTAACCCCTCTCCTCCCTCACTTTTCTCCCTCCCTCTCCCTCTACCCCCTGCCTCACTCTCCCACTCCCTCACTCTCTCCCCCTCCCTCTGTTCCCCCCCCCCCCCAAACACACACACACACACACAGAGACACACTGGACCCCCTGCAGACGGGATGGGGATTAGAGAGGTCAGCACCCTGCCTGGGCGAATCTGTTTGGCTGGGGGTCTCCATGTTGGTCATTCAAGCAGGATGAGGGTGGGGGTGTGAGGGAGGGGAATGATGGAGAGTGGCTGAGGGAGGGTGGGTGAGGGAGGGGGATGAGGGAGGGGAGAGTGGATGAGGGTGGGGGGTGAGGGAGGGGAATGAGAGAGGGGGAATGAAGTTGGGGCAATGAGGGTGGGGGGTGAGTGTGGGGAAATGAAGGAGGGGGGTGAGTCAGGGGGTAGGCACTGTTTGCTCCTCACTGTATCCTTTAGTGTTTGTGGCAGTAACTGTGGGGATGGTGGGGGTAGGGGGTGGTTGGGAAAGGGGGGGAATTGCTGCGGTCTATGTAGTTTCCTGGTGTTCAATGATTGTGATTTGAATTGAAACACTGTGAATCCGGAATCACACTGGAGTTTCTAACAGAGACACTGACTTACAGCACAGACTCTGGCAGCTTCCACACAACACTCGGGAATGTTGGAACTGAGCGTGGAGAGCTCAGAAAGCTCTCCATCTGTCTCTGGGTCTGAAGGCACATGGCATTGAGTCAATGAGATTTGGGTTGGGGTTAGGGAGGGAGGAGTCATACAGCTGACATAGGCACCTGAGTTCACATCCTGAGTCTATAGTGAATAACTAACAGTTTTCAATGAGATTGTCAACTGATGAGACTGTGAATATTGCAGGTGCTGACTGTGAGAACACTATCCTGTCAGAATATCCACACTATCTCACAGTGTGAGGGTCACAATATGGCAAGTCAATGCTATAGTGTGTGCAGGTGACACCAAAATGAATCTACAACAAGAATTCAGTTGATCCCTCTGGGTTATTTTTCTCTGAGGTAGTCTGGGATTTCTGACACATCATTTATATTAAGCTGTTTCCCTCTGGAATTAGTGTTCAAACAGACACATCCTGAGGTCAGGAAGGGGTTAATTGTTGAAGGAAGTGTCTGTACATTCACCAGTTATATTTTTGTTCTTGGAACGAGGTCAAATTGAGAAAGGCCAGCCGGATATGGTTCACTCTCTGCTTTCATAATATTTTTGCTCATTGGAAGTGTAGCTCCTGGGTGAGTGTACACCACTCTGAGGGAATGTGTACCACTCTGGATAAGAACTACCGTGCCCTAGGTCAGTGTATAGTGCTCTATGTGGGTGTACTGTGCTCTAGGTCAGTGTATAGTGCTCTATGTGGGTGTACTGTGCTCTGGGTCAGTGTACAGTGCTCTGTGTGGGTGTACTGTGCTATAGGTCAGTGTATAGTGCTCTGTGTGGGTGTACTGTGCTCTGGGTCAGTGTACAGTGCTCTGTGTGGGTGTACCGTGCTCTAGGTCAGTGTATAGTGCTCTGTGTGGATGTACCGTGCTCTGGGTCAGTGTATAGTGCTCTGTGTGGGTGTACCGTGCTCTAGGTCAGTGTATAGTGCTCTGTGTGGGTGTACTGGGCTCTGGGTCAGTGTATACTGCTCTGAGTCAGTGTACAGCACTGTGGGTGTACTGTGCTCTGGGTCAGTGTACAGTGCTCTGGGTCAGTGTAAAGTGCTCTGGGTCAGTGTACAGCACTGTGGGTGTATAGTGCTCTGTGTGGGTGTACCGTGCTCTGGGTCAATGTATAGTGCTCTGTGTGGGTGTACCGTGCTCTGGGTCAGTGTATGGTGCTCTGTGTGGGTGTACCATGCTCTGGTTCAGTGTATAGTGCTCTGTGTGGGTGTACCGTGCTCTGGTTCAGTGTACAGTGCTCTGAGAAAGTATACAGCACCCTGGGTCAGTGCTGGCTTTTATTGAGCCTCGTCTATCAGTCAGCCCCTTCTGCCTTGAATTCAATGACTTCACTTAAGACCAGTTTGAGGATGGGGAATGCAACTGACTTTCAGCCCGAAGTCCTACATTCAATCCTTGTTGATTTCTAAACTTGGGAATTATTGTCTCCACTTTGGCAGTGGAAGTGCCCCAGAGAAACTTGTCACCCTGGAAATAACCCTCTGCCAATGGTGTGAGTGAAGTGCCTCAATTGATGAAGCCATCTAATTATAAAACTGTAACTTACCTCAGACAGTTCCTCTGAAAATATGTTTTAATAATAGATATCAAGTTTGTGGTAATGACCAAACCAATCTGTAATTTACATTAATCCATAAAAATCTGAATGAATCATTACAGAAATGCATTTACTGAGTCAATAATAAATGTCTAAACAATCTGTAAAGCGTATCTGAAAAATGTGTTGTAAACTGTGGAACAGGTCATGGGGTCTTCATTAGGGTGATGGACTGGGAAAATCAGGATGGTAGTGGATCTCAAGAGAAGGAATTTGTTGGATATTCACAAGATTTTTTTTGCAGCAGTTTGTGGTAAAGCCCATGAAGGAACAGACAATTCTGGATTGGGTGTTGCATGATAAGGCAGACTTGATTAGGGAGATTAAGGTGAAAAAAACCCCTGGGGGCAGTGACCATAATATGATAGAATTCACCCTGCAGTTTGAGAGGGAGGGGCTGAGTCAATGTGGTGAAGATTCATGGGAAGCCAGAGAATTGGGAACCCTTTAGAAACCAGCAGAGGATAATTCAAAAAGCACTAAGGAGGGAGAAGGTGAAATACAAGGGAAAGTTTCTAGTAATATAGAAGATAGCAAGAGTTTTTTTCAGATGTCTGAATGGTAAGAGAAAGGCAAGAGCGGACATTGGATCACAGAAAAATATGGCTGGAGAGGTAGTAATGGGGAACAAAGAAATGACAGAGGAACTGAATAGGAACTTTCATCAGTTTTTCACACCAGCAGCAGACCAGAACTTGAAGAGAGTGAGGGGGCAGAGGTGAGAGAAGTAGCTATCACTAAGGAGAAGGTGCTGGGGAAGCTGAAAGGTCTGAAGGTGGATAAATCAGATGGACTACACCCCAGGATTTTGAAGGAGATAGCTGAGGAGATTGTAAAGGCATTGGTGGTGATCTTACAAGAATCTCTGGAGTCAGGGAGGGTCCCGGGGACTGGAAAAAGTTTAATGTAACACCCCTGTTTAAGAAGGGAGTGGGGCAGAAGACAGGAAACTATTGGCTGGTTAGCCTGACCTCAGTCATTGGTAAGATTTTAGAGTCCATTATTAAGGATGTGATTGTGGAGTACTTGCAAGTGCATGGTAAAAATAGGGCTGAGTCAGCACAGCTTCATCAAGGGGAGGTCATCCCTGACCAATCTGTTAGAATTCTTTGAGGAGGTAACAACCAAGAGCCAGTGGATGTGATCCATTTGGATTCCGAGAAGGCTTTTAGAAGTGTAGACTATTTTCTAAATAGGAAAAGGCTTCGGAAATCTGAAGTACAAAGGGACTTGCGAGTCCTAGTTCAGGAGTCTCTTAAGATTGACATACAGGTTCAGTTGGCAGTTAGGAAGGCAAATGCAATGTTAGCATTCATTTCAAAAGGGCTAGAATACACGAGCAGGGATGTACTACTGAGGCTGTATAAGGCACCAATCAGACTGCATTTCGAATATTGTGACCATATCTAAGGAAAGATGTGCTGGTGTTATAGGGGGTCCAGCGAAGGTTTATAAAAATGATCCTTTGGATGAAGGGTTTGTCATATGAGGAGCAGTTAATGACTCTGGGTCTTAGAAGGATGAGGGAGGATCTGATTGAAACTTACAGAATTCTGTGAGGCCCAGATAAAGTGGTCATAGAGGAGATGTTTCCGCTAGTAGAAGAGACTAGAATCCAAGGCACAGTCTCAGAGTGAAGGGACAACCCTTTAGAACTCAGATCAGAAGCAATTTCTTCAGCCAGAGGGTGGTGAATCTATGGAACTCATTGTCACAAAGGGCTGTGGAGGCCAAGCCATTCAATGTATTTAAGACAGAGATAGATAGGCTCTTAATTAGTAAGGGGATCGAGGTTTACTGGGAGAAAGCAGGAGAATGGGGTCAAGAAACATATCAGCCCTGATTGAATGACAGAGTAGATTCAATGGGCTGAATAGCCTAATTCTGCTCCTACAAAAACAGAAGTTGCCGGAAAAGTTCAGCATGTCTGTCAGTGTTTGTGACGAAAAAAATCAGAGTTAACGTTTCGGGACTCTAGAGAGAACGAGAAAAAGTGGGACAATGGTGACTTTACCTTTTATAATCCTCAAGCTAAGTTGAGTAGAACAATTCAAAGTCTATTTGTCATGAGTCATGAGCCTTCGTCATGAGTTAATCGAAGGGTAGAGTACATTGAAAAGTACTCAGTGATTGTAGGAAATAGCTGTTTTCTAGCACAGGGAATACATCTGATGAATGATGCACTAACAGTGAGTCTATACAGTGACTGTTTGGGATTTGACAGATAATTGAATATCAATGCTGCATTAAAACAATGAGTTTAGTTAAGCATATCTGGAAACATTGGTAAAACAGGTTAGAAACTGTGGATTTGACAATTATGGCTATTTCTCATAATTTTCAGTAATATTGGTACAATTTAATATGAAGTTATAAAACTAGAATGATCAGACCTAATATACATGTTACAGATAATGT